GAGAGAGAGAGAGAGAGAGAGAGAGAGAGAGAGAGAGTGGGAGAGAGAGAGGGGGGAGAGGGGTAGAGAGAGAGAGAGAGGGGAGAGAGAGGGAGAGATGGAGAGAGGGAGAGAGAGAGAGAGAGAGAGAGAGACAGCTCAAAAGCTCGTGTTAGATACAAGACAGGTGCGGCAGGAGCGGCCGGAGAGAGAGATGAGCACTGGACTCCGGGATAGAAAGTGAGAGAGAGTGTGGTAAAGAGAGAGAGGGGGAGAGAGGTAGAGAGAGAGAGAGAGAGAGAGAGAGAGAGAGAGAGAGAGAGAGAGAGAGAGAGAGAGAGAGAGAGAGAGGGTGAGAGCAAGACAGGTAGAGAGAGGGAGAGAGAGAGAAAGAGAAAGAACAAAGAGAAATTGGGAGAGAGCGCGTGAGAGAAAGAGGGATGGATGGAGAAAAGAAAGAGAGTGAGAGAGAGAGAAATAGAGAGAGACTGAAAGTGAGAGAGAGAGCGAGAGAGGGAGAGAGAAGAGAGACAGAGAGGGGGGAGAGGGAGAGAAACATAGAGAGAGAGAGAAGAGAGATAGAAGAGAGAGAGAGAGAGAGAGAGAGAGAGAGTGAGAAAGTGAAAGTGAGGGCGAGAGAGAGAGAGAGAGAGAGAGAGAAAGAATCACTGGCCCCTGGCTATGTGTGAGGGTGGGCGCCAGTGTGTGTGGGGGGGTCTTCCGATGGATACACGCAGAGAGATGATAGCGGTAGAAGCAGATGCCGCACGTCGCCGTCGTTTCAACTTTACACGAAACTTTACGTCGTAATGCGAGAGATAAGAGCTAACTCCTCGCTCGCGGGCCTGACTCCACGCCGAGACTTTGTTAGCCGCTTGGATGGCCGTCACAGCAGTAGCGTGAGGCGGGCGGGGGGTCCGGCGGCCGCCAGAGGCGAGACAACACGCACGTAAATTACGGGTTCCCTATCACACGTGTTGCCTTCCCGCGTCTGCGTGTCTCGGGTCTATTTGTACGTTGGAATACATACTCCGCAACTTTGGAAAAAATAGGTAGCGCTCGCGAGCAAGTATCTACTATGCATACACGCACATACGCACGCACGCACGCACGCACGCACGCACGCACGCACGTGCAATTAACTCGTGGCCTCGAGACTGAATTTTAGAATGCGGCCACACTATACAGGACGACGGGGAAACTCGACTCGCAAAGCTCGAGTGAGGTAGGAGGGCAGGGCAAGGCGGACAGATGGCGGATGCGTTGTCACGAGGGAATGGCCCCACGTCCCACTCACACCGCTTTGTCTGACGACCATTCCCTCTCGCCGTACTGGCTGAGAGCTGGGAGGCAGTGACACGCGACAGGTCGC